TCTTTTTATTTACTGAGCCCCTGGGGGATCCTCCTAATCCTTTCCAATGAGCCAGAATACATCCCAAAGGGCTCTTTTCTATTATTTCCTTATACATGCTATACAAACACACACCCACATGGGATCCCAAAAATTCCGCTCACTTTCTCATAAATTTGGAAAACAAAGATAAAAACATACACCAAATACACAAATACTAATTAGCAGCACGATAAAAACAGAAATGGTTCGCCATTCATTAATTACTCAAGCACAGCATCAAATGCCGGTTTTCAGAAATTGGGTCAGATACCAGGGAAATACAAACATGTTCCCTGTCGTGGTTTAAACCCAGTCAGGTAATTCGTTCGCTCACTTCCCCCCCCTTTCTTGCCCTCCCCCTGCTCTCGGAGGGACGGAGAGGAGAATCGAAAAGAATGCAACTCCCACGGGTTGAGGTAAGAACAGTTTAGTAACTAAGGCATAACACAAATCACTACTGCTACCACCAATGATAATAATGATAAAGTAAATAACAAGGGAAGAGAATACAACACCTCAGCACCAGCTGACCGATAACTCGCCCCCCAAGCCCGACCAAGCTCCGACCGATACCTCCTCCAACCCTGCAGTCTCCCAGCCCTTCCGGCTAACTCCCAGTAACATCCTGGGCATGACGTGCTGTGGTATGGAATACCTCTTTGGTCAGTTTGGGTCAGGTGTCCTGCCTCTGCTTCCTCACAGCCTCCCCTCCTCCCTGGCAGAGCATGAGCCTCACAGAGTCCTTGGTCAGGGTAAACATCACTTAGCAACAACCGAAAACATCGGCTTCACCAACACTGTTCTCAAGCTAGAAGTCAAAACACAGCACTGCACCAGTTAACACAAAGGAAAAACATGACTGCTATTGCTGAACCCAGGACATTATCCACCCCTTATTCCATACCATTCACGTCGTGCTCAGATCCCACATTTTCAATACACCATCGCTCTCCCACATATATACATCCATATACATACAGACCAAGAGGAAAAAATCATTTTCTTAGTGCATGGACCAATCCCTATAATGCTGCCGAGTCCATTCGGTCCATGATGTTCAAATTTCATTCTCTGTTGGGATGATGGCTAGAGGGAAGTCAGGGCCAGTCGCTGGTGACCTGGAGACATCTAGTTGATGGGCTATAAAAGCATTACACAGCAGGCAACAGCATACAGTTGAGTTCACTGGCTGTTTTCCCCTAAAATCAAATCCCCTTGAGGTATACATCGGACTTCCCCATCTTCCCGCATTACCCACCAAGTATATCCAGGTCCCTGTCAGGCTCCATCTCTTGTAACAGTCTTCCAGAGCAGGAGAGACTGTGTGAAGTGTTCACACTCATGAATAACTAGGGCAATAGTGTCCATTGCTAAGTCCACCCCTTGATCATGAGTCCATCTCTATGTTGCATCTCTGCTCTGATGGCCTGAAGTGCCATGGGCCCACCAGGCTCAAAATAATTCACTGTCCCCTTCAGCAGTTTCTGCAGCTTGTTGCTGGGGACTCCATACAGCTGCCTTCCATCTCCCATGCTTCCAAAGCACTGGAGGGGCCCAGTGGACTAGATACTTGCCCATACTGTCCCATACACCCTGCCACTCATGACTGTCCAGCCTTGGGGAAAATCTCTTGGTCTCCCTATATTGTTGTCTAACCCCAGACAAGACCCAAACCTGACTCTGCTTAACTTTTGAGATCAGACAAAATGGTTGTGGGTAGAACACAGCCTGTGTGTGTGCCAACATGCTGATCGCCATCACAATCAGCAGGCAGGTCCCAAGGATACCCAAAGGCCATTCAAAACCTTCAGAACTCTCAGTTGATGCTGCTGTACTTGTCACTGGGGCTGGTGTAGCTGCTGTGCTTGCCGGCTCTCCCACCGCCAGCTTCTCTTTTCCTGAGTCCAGCTCTTCCTCCTCTGCCTTGCTGGGAAATGCTGCGTGGTCTCCTGCATCCTCCTGGGGCTCGGCGGGCGGCTTCCGGGGGATGCTCTCGGCCGTCGCGGGGCTGGGCTCGGCCGCGGGGCTCGGCTCCTCCGCGGGGCTCGGCTTCTCCGGGGGGCTCGGCTCCTCCGCCGCCTTCTCCCGCTGCTCGGCAGCCGCTTCCTTCTGCTCCTCGATCTCCCCGACCTCCTCCACCGGCAGCCGTCCCCTCGCGGCCTCCGGCCCCGCTCCCGCCGCCGCTTGGTCCCCGGGGCCGCTCTCCCGGGCCGGTTCGGCTGCCGCCTGCTCCCGGGGCCGCTCCCCCTCGGCTCCCCGCAGCCTCACGAAGATGGAGAGTAGGGTGAGGGCCAGGACGGTGAAGAGCAGCCGGAAGGCCAGGTACAAGTCCACGGCCACGTCCGTCCCGCCCTGCTGCTGGAGCCCACCCGTATTACAAGCCATTGCCATAAAGCACAGTGAGACAAGAACCTTAGCCCGGGCCCCACACTTGATAAACACCAACACAGCAAATACCGGCTCTACAGAAGTTACAACATTCTGAAGCTGTGAGATCAACAAGAACAACTCTGAGAGCCAATAAATCGTCATTGTGATGAGTGACTATTAATCTGGTCAGATCTGTCGTTATCTCAACCCTTCGTGCCCCACGTTGGGCGCCAAAAAGAACTGTCGTGGTTTAAACCCAGTCAGGTAATTCGTTCGCTCACTTCCCCCCCCTTTCTTGCCCTCCCCCTGCTCTCGGAGGGACGGAGAGGAGAATCGAAAAGAATGCAACTCCCACGGGTTGAGATAAGAACAGTTTAGTAACTAAGGCATAACACAAATCACTACTGCTACCACCAATGATAATAATGATAAAGGAAATAACAAGGGAAGAGAATACAACACCTCAGCACCAGCTGACCGATAACTCGCCCCCCAAGCCCGACCAAGCTCCGACCGATACCTCCTCCAACCCTGCAGTCTCCCAGCCCTTCCGGCTAACTCCCAGTTATATCCTGGGCATGACGTGCTGTGGTATGGAATACCTCTTTGGTCAGTTTGGGTCAGGTGTCCTGTCTCTGCTTCCTCACAGCCTCCCCTCCTCCCTGGCAGAGCATGAGCCTCACAGAGTCCTTGGTCAGGGTAAACATCACTTAGCAACAACCGAAAACATCGGCTTCACCAACACTGTTCTCAAGCTAGAAGTCAAAACACAGCACTGCACCAGTTAACACAAAGGAAAAACATGACTGCTACTGCTGAATCCAGGACATTCCCGCATATGACGTCTCGTATGCCTCACAGAACAATTCAGAATGTACACCTGTATACCAAACAGATGCTAGCAGCTGGGTATGTGCCTTTATCTATGAGATTTTTCTATCCTGATTTACAGAAGACTTTCTTATTCCTGTGTACTCCTTATGGAATATTAACCATGTTCCCATGTTCCTGCATTGGACGTCTCCTACGCCTTATGGAACATTAATCGGTGTTCCTGCATAGGATGTCTCCTATGCCTTACGGAATGCCATAAAATAAAGCAAGCAAAAGAATACCTTTACAATGATAGTCATGGTCCTTGTCTGCTCCTGCAGTGATCTGAGTGAGTCAAGGGGTCCCTCCAGGGAAATCTGTCCTGGGGGCCCTCGGGAGCCCTGTCCTCAGCGGGTCCTGCAGCCAAGCAGAAAGGGTCCCATCTGTGGTGCCAAATTGATTCAGAGAAATCTCCAGGAACTCGACAACAGTGTTTAAGTTGACACGCTGGTATTCTTTATTGTGGTAACAGGAGACATGGGGATCGCTCCTCCTAGCATGTCTCATCCAAGCATCAACCAGGCTGTGATTATATTGTCCTTAAACATACATATTCGTTAGGTTACATACATTACATCATACTTTTAGAGAATGCCTCCTACATGCACACTAAAATGTGGTAGTGGGCTTTGTGTCCCCTGGTGTTTATTTCTTCATCACTTTGTTTTAGGATCGTTGTCATATCACCACCAGCGGGTTCTGGCAAAGCTCATCTTAGTAATTTCCTTTTCTCTATAGTTGCTAACAGAGCCTAATGTCCTTGAAGTTACTTATTTACAACCCTATTCTTCAATCAACCCCATTCTTCAAATTAATACCACCAACTCCTTAATCATTTTGTTCTTCTCTAAATCCTCATCACTCGGTTTTCATCTTTCTGGTTCTGAGGTCTGTGGACAAAACAATCACAAACCTACGAACCAGCTTCCTAAAAGGGACAAACAGCAACCTAGGCTATGATACTGTGATTTTGTACATAAAATTGCAAATTGAATGTTTTCTCTTTGTTGGTGATGTTTTTTAGGTTTTTTTTGGTGGTGGAGAGGCTACTAGGTCACATTGCAAATTGATTTCCAAGTGACTGACCATTAATGTCCACTGGTGTTCTCCAAGTTTGTGTGTATGGTGTCCCTCCTTTCTGAAGCTTGAAGATAGAATGGTTTTGGTGGGAAAGGACCTTAAGCTCACCCAATTCCAACCTTGCTGCCACAGGCAGGGTCACCTTCCGGTAGATCAGGTTGCTCCAAGATCCGTCCACCGCGGCCCTGAACACTGCCACGGGAGCGACAAGCGCAGCTTCCCTGCTCTGCAGCCTTCACAGCAAACATGTTCCGCGGAATCCACCAGCCGCGCCCCGGAGCAAGCCCCGCCCGTAGAGCAAGCCCCGCCCGTAGAGCAAGCCCCGCCCCTAGAGCAAGCCCCGCCCCTAGAGCAAGCCCCGCCCCTAGAGCAAGCCCCGCCCCTAGAGCAAGCCCCGCCCCTAGAGCAAGCCCCGCCCCTAGAGCAAGCCCCGCCCCTAGAGCAAGCCCCGCCCCTAGAGCAAGCCCCGCCCTGCAGTGGGCGCGCCGCGGAGATCGATCTCCCCTGCTGGTGGCTATCCTCCGCGCCCTACAAGCGCTTGAGCGGCGGCGTAGTCCCGCCCACAGCCCCGCTGCGATTGGCTGGCGGGCGCCCGCGCCCTTTTCGGATTGGTCTCTGTTGCGCCCAAGAGGCGGTGCTGCACCGCCCCGCAGAGCAGGGCTGGTTGTGGGTGGTGGGGGGCGGCTGTTATGGAGGAGTTGGATCCAGGGCGGGCGTAGGCCCGCCGGTAGCGTCCTGGGAAGGTAATACGCAGGCCCGCGTGGGCGGGGAGGTCGCGGTGGTCCTTGAAGGACCGCTGAGGGGAGGGGGTGCGGGAGGGGTTTCTTGTTGAGGAGGGCCGGGATCCTCTGGGCGGGCGGGAGCTGGTAGTGAGGGAAAAGGCAGGCGCAGGCTCTCCTCCTCTGAGGCTCAGCTGGGGCGCGCGGTGCCTTCCTCGCGTGGCTTTCCCCGTGTGGATACGTGTCTGTGTGCTTCTTGGGGCAGCAGGAGCTCTTCAAGCCGCAGCTCAGAACAAATCGGGGGCATGGCTCTTATCGCTGTAAGGGAGAAGAGGATTTCTCTTCTCGTATGGATAACAGGCGGGTAGGATCACCCCCCCCACCCCCCCCCCCAACAGGTTTCTTCAGGGGCCCGCGCTGCCTGGGGACGTCCCAGGGAAGGCGGCTGGACACTGGCACACCGCAGAAGCAAGTGAGTGTAGCTGTAGAAAAAGCACAGTTGCGGTTACTTGTCTGTGAAGTAGGAGGTGAAAACATCCAGAATTATTTCTCTTGCAGATTCATAGCAAGGACAGCTTGTGCTTTGTCAGGACCCCGTTCGGAATCTCCGTGTTGACCCGTCTAGATGAAACTTCTGAGAAGAAGCTGGGGACACTGTGTTTGGGCTGTGTGTATCTAGTAAGCTTTTGACCCTGAAAAAGGCAGGCGTGTGTCCTTTAAGAGGCAGAGAGGTGCAGACTAGATGGATCTAAAGACAGCAGTGTTTACTGCAGCTCGTGATGGCAAGCTGCGGCTCCTCTCTAAGCTGCTGGCAAGCAAAACAAGAGAAGAGGTAGCCCTACTGATATCAGAGAAAACCAGTGGTGCCACACCACTTCTGATGGCAGCCCGTTACGGTCATCTAGACATGGTGGAATACTTGCTGGACCACTGCTCTGCATCAATAGAAGTTGGGGGTTCTGTGAATTTTGATGGTGAGACCATTGAGGGGGCTCCGCCGTTATGGGCAGCGTCTGCAGCTGGTCACTTGAAGGTGGTTCAGTGTCTGTTAGATCATGGTGCATCTGTCAACAACACAACTCTGACAAATTCAACGCCGCTTAGAGCTGCCTGTTTTGATGGTCACCTGGAAATAGTAAAGTACCTTGTGGAGCACAAAGCAGACCTGGAAGTATCCAATCGTCATGGGCATACATGCTTGATGATCTCATGTTACAAAGGCCACAAAGAAATTGCTCAGTATTTACTTGAGAAAGGAGCTGATGTTAACCGAAGAAGTGTTAAAGGTAAGTTTGGGTTGTTTTTTTTTTTCCCTTTGTGGTGCATAAGGGTGAAGTTACTCATTTAACCTTCTTCAGGGGGCTGACATCCAAAAATATTCTTGTAGTCTCATAAGGTGGTTGAGAAAGAGGTGAAGTGTATTTAGTAATGTTCTTACTGTTCTTTTGTCTACTCCTTTGCTAACACAGGTTGTATAATTTCATTCTGAATTCACACATTTTAATCTTAACCCCATAATTCTTAAAAAGACAGTCATGAAAATTCACTTTTGTGTGTGCGAAAACCTGATGAACACACTGAGAACTCCTCTTTATAGATGTTGGTGTAGCAACGTATTTAAATATATGAGCATGTGTTCTTGTTCTTTATACTATTTCTTAACAAAGCAGATATGCAGGACATAAAACTGACCTATAGCAATAAGGCTAATACAGGGAAAGGTGCGTAAAGGAGAGAAAATATTTTCTGCATTGGAAATGAATAACCACTTTGCTTTCTACCGTCCTTTTCCTCCAGATTCTTAAATAATTTTGGGCCTTTTTCAGTGCTAGAAAACAAAAACATATATGAAGATTAAAGTAATGAAGCTGGAGGTGTCTGTGGTCCAAACAGAAGGACTTCTGGTGGTGGGCAGATCACAAATGATATCTCTGTGGCCTGTTTAGTTACCCTGGTGTTATCATGCAAAATGAAGATTTCTGGCATTTTTGCTGTGATCATAATTATGTGGCTCTCATGGTTTAAACACTGTTTTTCATTACATCTCAGACTTGTATGTGGGTGTGATATTTGCTTGAAAAGCATACCCGTTGTTGGAGTTTACAGTTAATTTTTTAGCTGACTGAGCTAGGATTCTGCTTCAGCAGCTTATTTTATATATGTATCTATATATCTCACAGAATCATTGGGGTTGGAAGGGATCTCTGGGGGTCATCTGGTTCAACCCCCTGCCAAGGCAGGGCTACCAGAGCAAGTTACACAGGAACTTGTCCAGGCAGGTTTTGAGTGTCTCCAGAGAGGAAGACTCCACGACCCCACACTGGTCCAGTGCTCTGCCACCCTCAATGTAAGTAAGTTCTTCTTTGTGTTGAGGTGACACTTCTTGTATTTTAGTTACTGGCCATTGCTCTCCATCTGGTTGCTGGGCACCACTGAAAAAAGTCTGGCACCTGTCTTTGAGATATTTATATTATGAACTTGCTAATAAACCTTTTTGTAGTGTAAAAGGCAGTTTCCACTGCCTGTTTTAGGCAAATTACATTTGTAACAGTATACTATATCTTAAAGTTATTTCTGTTAAAGTGTAATTTAGGTGTAGATTGTTGTATGATACTGGTAAATACCAAATATGAAAGTAATTCTTGGAAAAACTGTTCAGTTAAATATGCCTTTCAGCAAATCATGCAGATATGTGGGTTTAATGTAAAGAAAACTAAACTACAGATTTGTCAGAAAGGTGGGCAGAGCAAAATAAACATAAATAACCTTATGTCCTTCGGTTGCTTATGAATCATCATGGACTGGTGATCGGATAAAAATGTCATTTTTCTAGATAGGGTTCTTGGAATAACAAGCTAAATATAAACTGTGTATTGCTTTTTAGCTTTAAACCTATCCCTTTATATGATAGGTGTGAACAGAGCAGTGCAGTTAAATGATGTAAAAGAGAAAATTATATATCTCTGCAGCTATTTTCTCCCCTCATTTTGTATTGGTGGAGTAGGCTTTACTATACTGGGCCTTATTCACTTGTGCATAAGTGTTATTTGCTTTTGCTGAGATGACTGAGTGGCAGCCACGCACTCCTGAGAATTTTCTCTCTTAATTCCTTCCTGCCTCTGCTTCTTTTAGTTTCCGTGTGACTCACACAAGTGAGCAAAGATTCATTAAGTGTAACTGATCCTTGTTTAAATTAAATTTAAAAAAGTTGGGTTGGATATGCTTTAGCTCATTAAAACTCATTTTATACTTCAAACTGCCATGTGTACAAATGGATGTGTGTACAAAATGGGTATCAAGTATGTGGAATAAGTTTTTGTATGTGGAAATCGCTGCTGATACGACACAAATATACCTTTTCTTTTTGGCATCTTAAAGTAGTTTGATCTCTGAAATTGTTTAATAAGCAGCAGTGAGGTAGAAAGTGCTATAAAATCTGAAAGTGAAAGTCAGCAGTGGAAAGGCAGGAAAACTGATAGCCTTAAGTATTGCAGCAGTGTGGGTATTGCAGTGGCTTTGTTTTGCAAGCATTCTCAGTACCTATTAATTTCAAAATTAGTATTTCCAACAGGATTAATTCTATTTTGTCATGTCCACCTCTGTATTATTTTCAGGTTGTACTACTCCCTGCTGTACAACTGCTGTGTACTAAATAATTGACAGCATGCCTGCCCTTGTGATGGGGAGTTACAGAGAACCTGAGTGCTCTGCTCTTGAGTAGGAAAAGTTGTTGCTCTGAATTATGTCTGAATTTTTTTTAAATAGACCCCTTCCTGGGCCACATACAGGGAAGCCTGCTGTTCTGTGGAAGATGTAAAAGCTTTAGTTACTGTAAGTTTTGGTTCGTTTTAAAATGGCAACACTATGCAAACAAAACTATGTAACTTCAGTAGAGGTGCTCTTGTGGGAGATTAGTATATTTTCTTTTCCAGATACTATTCTTAAAATGGGGAGGGAGGGGGGAAAGAAGGGAGAGAGAAAGGGAAGATGTGGGCAAAATTACTTGAACTATTCCTTGTTTTTCCACTGGGTCATAATCTTGCAAGGTAGAACTTTAAGATGTGAAGAAAGCCCAGGAAAATCTAAAGCTTGAAAAGACATGAAAAAGTTTCAAAGTGTTGACAGTTTCAGGGAAAGATGAGAAAATGGGTAAGTTCACAAACATCTAAAAGTCTGGGTGACAACAGAGGCAGAGTATGTAACAGAGCAGGTGAAAACATACAGTGAAATCCTGCTTCTAAAATACAGGCAGAATCCCACAGCTGTGTTTTGGACTATGCAAATTCAGATGCAGAGGTTCTTGAATGTCTATTTCAAAAGTGCAGAAGCACAGCTAGGGAGTTAGATACTCATGGACTTCAGAGTCTGAATCAGATCAGATGCTACACTGAGGAAGATGGTCAGTCTGCCACTGTCCCACAGGACATGGTTGTGAAGAGGGGAGGTAACAAGATGCATAGTGTAGGTAAATGCTCTACTGTAAAAGATGCCCAGTGGTTCTGAATTTGAAGTATGAGCCTTTAGTCGTCTTTGTTTCTTCTGTTTTTTAAATCTAAACTTTCACAGTTTCCCCAAACTTTTATGAAGCACGTAGACAACAGACATGTAAACAAAAGAGTTCTTAACAAATGTTTAATGTAACAAGAACGGTGTTGGTGAGGGGGGGAAACTGATACGTGGGTTAAGAAGGGTGGGACATTTCTCACTCTAGAACAATTCCTGAAGTGAAGCACAGACCTACGTACCTTTGTGCTGGATGAGAAGGATGTTTTCTGTGTCAGCTGCATTCAGTTTTCTCTTCTGCATTGCAAAGTCTGTCAGTGACCTGTTAAGAGTGGTGCTTCCTTACCATGTTCAGAATTGACTGTTGTATTCCTGAATACAGTGTTTCACTGATGTGTTTCTGTGCAGTCTTTGGCTGCTATGTGTAGGGAGGGAAATGCTTGTACCTGTAACGGTAGCAATCCTTGGGCCTTCAAATTACAGATCTGGGCTCCACGGGGGATATACCTGGGGCTGTGTTTGTTGGATTTTATGCTTAGAATAAATTATTTCATATAATTGTTGTAATAAAAAAAGGCAAATGTAGTTGTTGAGCTGTCATATATCATATTTGAGAAGTCGTAACAGTCCGGTGAAGTCCCTGCTGACCAGAGAAGGGGAAGCGTAATCTTCATTTTAAAAAGGGAAACAGGAGGACCAGGGGAACTACAGGCCAGGCAGTCTTACCTCAGTGCTTAGCAAGATCGTGGAGCAGAACCTTATAGAAACTGTGCTAAGGCATGTGGACTATAAGGGGTGGTTGGTGACAGCCAGTGTGGCTTCACTAAGGGCAAAATGTGCCTGACAAAACTGGTGGCCTTCCATCTAATGCCACCACGGTGCTGGTGGATAAAGGAATGGTGACTGACAGCGTCTGCCTGAACTTATACAAGGCATTTGACGCTATCGTGCATGACATCCTGGTCTCTAAAGTCAAGAGAGGAATTTGACAGATGGACTACTGTGGATAAGGAATTGGCTGGATGGTCACACTCAGAGTTGTGGTCAGTAGCTCAAGGTCCAAGTGGTTCCTCAGGGACTGGCAAGATTTTAATGTCTTTGTTAGTGACACGGACAGTGGGATTGATGCACCCTCAGCAAGTCTGCCATCAACACCAAGCTGTATGATGTGGTTTACACACTGGAGGGAAGGGATGTCATCCAGAGGAACCTTGACAGGCTTGAGAGGTGAGCCAATACCAGCCAAAGTTCAACAAGGTCAAGTGCAAGGTCCTGCACCTGGGTCAGGGCAATCCCAAGCGCAAATACAGGCTGGGTGGATATTGGATTGAGAGCAGCCCTGGGGAGAAGAACTTGGAGGTGTTGGTTGATGAGAAAAACATGAGCTGGCTTTAGTGTGCACTTGCAGCCCAGGAACTTGCACCTCGAGGGAGGTGATTTTTCCCCCCTCTGCTCTTGTGAGACCCCACCTGCAGACCTGCGTTCAGCTCTAGGGCCCTCAGCGCAAGAGTGCCGTGGACCTGCTTGAGTGAGTACAGATGAAGCTATAAGGATGATGGGAGGGCTGAAGCACCTCTGCTATGAAGAGAGGCTGAGAGAGCTGGGCTTGTTCAGCTTGTAGAAGAGAAGGCTCAGGGCAGACCTTGTAACAGTCTTTCAGGGCCTAAATGGGACCTATGAGAAATCTGGAGGTGGAATTTTTACAAGAGCATGTAAGGACAGGGGCAAGGGGCAGTGGCTTTAAGCTGACAGGTGAGGAGATTTGATTTTAGACATTAGGAAA